TGGACAGCCAGAGTCTCTCCCACCCCCTTGGCCATGCACAGTCTGGCACAAGTGCATAACAGCTTGCCATGGCTCCTAAAACACCTGGCTTAAGCAGCATAAAAGCACAGTTTGGTTCACATCCTGGCCCCATTTATCTCCATCTCCCTGAGGTGCAGGCCAGGCCCTTCATGCAGAGCACTTAGCAGAGTTAAACTGTAGTGCAGCAGGATTAAGTCTTTTCTGTCCCTGTTGGCAAAGAATGCCCAGAGATTTGGGGATGTGAGGGGGGGACGTAGGGAGAGTGTGGTAAGCAAGCCAACAAGCCTTGGGCGGGTGAGGGCTTTGTAGCCAGTAAGTGCTTTCCTTCCCATCCTGCTCCTTGCTCCCTCTTCCATCAGCAGGGGCTCTGACTGTGAGGGGGGAGCATTTAGACATTTCCATAGCTCACCTTTGAAATTTGACCTGCAAGTCCAATGCAAAGGCCTGATGGTCAGTGGAGCAGCTGCAGGTACCTGGAATCACCTCCTCTCTGCCCTTTCTATCGGGTGCGTGCTCCAATGCTGTCAGCTGCTAAGTCCCAGGGAAAAAAGGCTCCCACCAATTACTTTTTTTTCTAGTAGCAGCTCTTTGTTGAGCTTCCTAGTACTGAGTCTTCTTTGGAGATGAACACATGGGATTTGTGAAGATAGGACTGACAGTGTGATCAGACTGCCTGGCATGGGACACCTGCGGCCACAGCCTGACCTGCAGCACACAGCACTTACCATACTCTGAGGTCGGAAGGTCTGATATGGTTTTCTCCCTCAAATGGTTTTTTCCTGTGTTGATGTGAGCAGCAGATTTCAGCTCTGGCTCTGAACTCCCCCAAGCTATGTGGATTTTGTTTGGTATGCTCTTCTTCACCCTTCCTTCCTCACTTTGCCAGCTAAATTCAGACGAGGTGCCTCTATGCATAAGAGCTGTCAAAAGAATAACTTAAAAGTGCAAGAGCTAGAAAAGTCTTGAGGTGTAAAGCTGGCAGCCCCCGAAGACCTGCAGGGACTATCCAATCCATCTGGTGCTCCAGGGTGCAGAGCAAACAGGCTTTTGACTAGTTCATAACCACAGCATATGCAAAAGGCTCAATTATTTCTTCTTAAAAAGCCCAAATTATCTCCTGGAGTTGGAGACTGACAGCCACACAGTCTCCACAGCGTTTTGCACGACTGAATTTTTGCTGGCTTGTTCTCTGCTGTTCTGTACTGCCTGTAATTGCATTGCATTTTAACTGTTTAGCATCGTCAGAACTTCAGCCCCAGGGGCAGCGGAGGTGGTGAGAGCTCAATACATCAAATTACTACCCAAAGAGCAGGCAGACAAAAAGCAGAGCAGGTAGGGAGGGAAACAGACAAATGAGCCACATTCATTAGAAAAACAGCAGCCCTGACCAGAGAAGCGTCCTACTGATGTAATGAGAAAGGTGAAAGTTGTTAATAATAAAAAAGAACACAGTTACACAGTTGCTTTTCTATCAGAAAGTACCAAATCTGGAGAAAATAAATGCTCTGTGGAAAGAAGAGATGAAAACCAATGAATTGCTCCTTGTCCACATAGCCCTTTCTTTCTTCCCAGTTTTATTTAGTGGGGGTTTTTTTGTGGTATTGGGCTCTGTAGCTGCACTTTTAGTGCTGGTCCCTTGAGTGCCGTGATGCGGCCCCAAAAGCTGGCATTGCTGCTACAGAAGCTCCATCTCCCATGCGAGGCAGTCAGGCACTTTCCCACAGGCGGGTTTATGCTTCACTCTTGGCCAGGTAGAGGTCCTGATTGCTGCTCCTCTCTTTGGAATTTTGTCACCTGTGAGGGTCCTGAAATGTAACAGAGCTCTTGATGGGTCTGCCCTGCTGAGGCACCTCTGTAGCTTTGACCTCAAAGGACTCACTAAACTCTGTGCATCTTAACACCCTGAAATTACAGGGCACTGTTCCAGGAACAGGCTCAGCACAACACAGAGGCCACAATGATACAGCCATGGAATGAAGGGTTACCTGTGGGTGCCTGAAGAGCAGCCTCTGAGCTGCCCACCATGGCACGGGTCCCCAGGACCCAGCAGGACTTGCTGGGTGTCCCTTGTAGGCCACCAGCAGGCTACTTGAGGGTCTTCATCCTGCCTACCTACAAAGCCATGGGAGAAGATCACAGAATAATTTGGGTTGGAAGTGACCTTTAAGGTCTAGTCCAACCCTCAAGATGAAGCAAAGACCAAGGGGCAACAACAGGCACTGCCAGCAATAAAGATGGTTGTGGCAGCACAGAGGTTTCTGTCCCTGTCCCAGTGCAGCCTGATAGGGAAGTGCCTCTGCTGTGGCTCTCCACACAGGGAATGTTCAGAGTGGATGCGAGGGAGCTGAGAAGATCCTTCAGCTGTCTATGCTGAAAATTTTGAGGGTATTGACGTTTCATGTCAGCTGCATTCACCAGGGTTTATTAAAATCTGTGTTTTATGGATTGCCCTTGGCCATAAGCAGAAAAGCTGCCTCAATTGGAAATCAGTAGAGTAATCTTTAAACTCTTTTATTTTATTAGATGTAGGGTTCCAACTTGAAGAAATTGAGGAGCTGTAATTAATGGTGCCGGCGAGGTCCTGAGACATATGTTTAAAGCTTCCTGAGGAGAGTGCTTTCTGTAGGCAGTGTGCTGGAGGTGCCCAGCATGCTGGGGCACACCACTGGGGCTGGGGAATGCTCTGGTGGGTGAGGTCCCAGGAGCACTGCAGAAATCCAACAGCAAATCAATAGCCAGTACTCTGCCCAAAAATTGAAGGGAAGGCTGTGAAGGCAGAGCTGTCACCACAGGGCACAGCAGAAAAGCCAAATCCTGGGCTGCTGACAACCAAAGAGTGTCACAGATGCTGTCAATGGCCTCCCCGTCCCGAGCCAGAGAGACTGATGTGCTTTTATGTCTTTCCCTAAGTCTACTGTGCACTGGTATGCAGTGAAATGGTTTGCCCCTCTTCAGTGGGGTGGAGTCATTCCAAAACCACGGATGTCTTTGGGGGTTTTGGAAGGTGAACTATCCTGACAGTGCACTGCTTTCCCTTGCAACAGCCTTGCTAGCAGGCCATACAACTTTCCCACAACAAACAGACCAAGGAATGTTTTTCGTTTAAACAGCTTTCTGAGCAGTGCCTGTAAAATAATTCTGTCCACAGACAATGGAGTGTCAAGGGCCAGAACGATTCCTGTGATGCAATAAGTAGAATAATCCCCAAAAGACTGTCCCATTCATGAACAGCCATCACGAGGCCCTAAGCCAAATGTGCAAGAATAAATATGTATTAGCCTTAGAAGGCTAATGAGCTGCTTGTGCTTGAAAAGCACTTATGCCTACCTTTTCAGCATTTACCGTTTAGAAATAATTATTTTCAACTTTTCTATGTTGTTTTTCTCATTTCTAGACCTTTTCCCTATAAATTATGATGAAAGTATTTTTCTTTCTGTGAGTCAAATAACTTACTTGATACAGCATCTTAGAGTAGAAAGCCAATTGTCAATAGACTCTGCCACACCTTTTTTTTTGTGCTTGGTTGGCTCTTTTTCTTCACCGCCCACTTGTCTTGTTTGGGGCTGCATTCAAAATTGCAGCATGCTGCAACTGGTCACTCCCAAAATATTGCAAACCTTTTTAATGAGCAGGGTTAGACTCTGGGAAGAGCTCAAGGAAATCTTCTGTGCTTGAAGACAGTGACTCGCCTTCCCAAGTTAGGCCTGAGATGAGCTGTGCTGAAAACACTTTCTCCTGGCAAACCTGAGTCCTGCACACTTTGCTGGCAGCAATTAATGATACCCCAAGTTTTTGCAAGGCAAATGTGTTCTGTATGTTCTTGGATTTTAACATGTAGATCAGAATCATACACTCGACCTACAAACTTGTTTAACAAGTAATTCATGAGCTGAACTAATCTGTAAGCAGATCCGGTTTAATTACATTTCTGTTGACATGTTCATTCCACACTGAAGTGGACGCCATTCACTTCTTTAGCAAATTAGGACACAGAAGCTGAAGAATATTAAATTTAGATGGGACTGTCCACAGAAGATTTAGTCAAACTTTGCTGAGAAGACTTTTACAAATGTAGATTCATTTTCCTAGTATTCTCATACAGACAAACCTCACAGTGGAGGACCAACTTTAACCTTTGGGTTTTTTTTAGCCATACTAGTGACTAGAAAAATTCTAGTGGCTCTTTTAGACATGTATTACAGTGGAGCTGTTGAGCCAGACAACCTGAATTGATTTTTCATTTATTTTTCATTTACTTGAGCCATTGCATGTAACTTCTTTAAATACTAAGTTCTCTCTGCAGACAGTTCGCCTCCCATTAAAGGTAATTCCAGCACCTCCAACTTTGCAGAAGAAAAGCGCCCAAAGAATACTTGAAAATATTCTTCCAAATCCTTTCTGTGCTTTTCAGATATCCTTCAAGCAAATCTGTCTTCTCTCCTTCATACAAACATCAATCCTTTGTGATTCTTAAGAAGAATGGAAATTCATATGTTTCCCTTTACTGCAAGTTTTGTCATTTCAAGGGTTAAGAGGATCTCAGGCTCTTATTTCTGCTGTCCACTAGACTCACCTCTTTTACTTCATACACACTCAGCACAAACCAGTCTTTTTGGGAGATATTTCCCAGCCTTCCAATGAGTGCTTGGTTGTCTGCCATCCCCATATCATGAAGAGCCCAAATACCTTCCCTGTTTCGTTTTTCACTTTTCCAGTATCAGGATTTGCAGAGAGGCCTGTCCTCTCCCTGTCACTGATTGTAATGAGGAGGACTTTCCACTTGCAACCTCCAGCATGCCTTCTGCAACGTTTAATGGAGCCCCTGCCACCACCATATCCAGAATATCTAATGTCTGCTCTCCAGGCTTGTCATAAAGGGTCCATCTCATTCTGGGAAACAGGAATGCAGAGTAATGGACAATACCTGCTCTAGACGTGGGCAATGGATTGCATTTCTGCAAACAGAAAAGGATAGCTACTTAATAAAGATAATAAATTTTAATAGGCAGTAAGTTGGTTTTTTTTGACACAACATGGTAGTTTCTGAACAGATTTTGCACAAAACCACAGATATTTCACAATATTTCTCTGCTTTTCTCTACTGTCCTTTCACTATGATACAACACACTACAAAATACCTTGAGTTTTTAATCAACATGAAAACCCACAATGACTGGTTTTTTTGAAGGAAACCTCATCAATCATGAACCAGAATAGTTGCAGATGCCAACTGGCATATTTTAGATGGCCCAACCTTTCCAAAGTAGGCATCCAAGACTTCTCTGCTCCTGAGGAATACAAGTGATCCAGGAATACTTGAATGAACCACAAGTTCAGCTGCACCATGGACACTTGTTTGTTTCCCATCTTTTATCGAGCTTCACCAAAAGTCTCTCATGGCACCACTAAGAAAGAAGATTATCAGACCCACCAAAGTGAAAGTAAGAGCAATGGCCAAGTACAGGGAAATAAACACTTCTCAGATTTGTCTATAGATGTGAACTAATAAATCTGCTCAATCTCTCACCATAATGCTAGGTAAGTTTTAATATTTCAGAGAAGAAAATTGGAGAGAAAAGCTCCTCAAAAGCATTGTATCAATAGGTATCAAAACTTAGATGATTGTCCTGGATCTTGGTCTTGCACTTAGACTGCCTGTTGTCTTCTTTCCATTTCCAAATAAAAAAAAAAAAGGTAATTCTTGGAATGCTACAATCAGTGGATTGAGACTGAGCAGATGCTCACAGTAATATAACTTTCAAACATTTATAGTTCTAGAAATGTAGGGTACATGCAGGTAGAAGCACTACTTGATATTTTGGAACTGCCAGCTCTTTACAAATTAAGTGTGTCTGTAATTAGCACTTGAAACACTCTTTGAACTTCCAGTTATTCAATAACCTGCAGGAATCTCATGCCTTACTCAGAACACAGGGAAGAAGGTTCATCTGTGAAATTGCTTACCTTGCTGATTCCCACTGTGTGCCCCAGGCTATATGGGAGTCATATTTGTAGCGCACATAATGCAATTAGCCAAGGATCAGGTGAAAACCAACTATTGCCTGCTACATTGCAAGGATTATATTCAGTAATTTACAGAATTTCAAAGAGCCTCAGTGCAAGGTACATTCCTCCCTTCACAGAAAAGAAGCCCACACTTCAGCATCTCAGCCAGGCATCCCACCCTGTAAACATTTATGACAAGCAAAGCATGTGCTACAGTGAGGAGTCTCATGCAAATCACCGAATTAATTTTCATAGTGGCTGTTTTCCCAGTCCTGTTTCAAGGGTCAGGCCTTGTTTGTATTCTGCTAAACACAATTAAAAGATCCATAGCTACCATAAGTTCAACAAAGTATGCTGACATATTCCTTCCTGTGTGTGCAGAAAACATTTTCAGTAGCTACTATGCAAACATCAAATGTAAATTTTTACATTATCTTCATCCTTCTTGTTTTTACATTCTCTTCAACCTTGTTTCCCTGCTTTTACTATATGTGAAAATAATAAATATACATGATATACCAGTTATTAAGCCATCAAAAAAATTACATGTCATTCCAGAAGGGAAAAGAGATGCTTGAGATTTAGAAGTCAAAACTTGGTCATTAACACAAGTGTCCTTATGGTAAAAAGCTTCAGCTTCTCCACATTTCCCATTGAAACACAGCTTTGGTGAGATATTCCTGCATATTGTGATAAAACAGGCTGCTTCACATCTGAAATGACAAGAGTATCTCAAGATTATTATTCCAGGTAAGGTTGTCCAGGAACAGAAGGGTAAGCTAAAATGGAAGACACAGAATAAATCCAATATGGGATAGACAATAAAGATTAAATTAATTGTCCAGGCCCTTGTCCTGGATCCACAAATTGAACCATCTCTGGGTTTTCAGTAATGTAGGCGAAACTGTATTCTGCTGCTCTAATTCAAGGAACAAAAGAGGTAATTTTGTCCTTACTATTGGCATCAGGAAAGTTCGGTTTCTATCTAGGGGAAATGAGAATAGGTCAAAACCATCAAAGATGTTTTTCACATTTCTGGTCAACCAGGTATTTCTCAGTGGAGACTGATGGGACCCGTTCTAGAGGGGCTTGATTCTACAGTGCTGGTGGGAGGCTGAGCTTTGCCAGAGCCTCTGTCAGGTCCATCCCACGCATGCTGTGACACCCAGCTCATCAGGACATCCTTGTCCCCTGCCTCCTGCTCTACCCTGGTCACACAGGGCCCTTCCACACCCTGCTTCCTTCTCCCACCCTCAGTAAAGGACCACAGCTCTCCACAGTTATCCACAAATGAGAGAAGCAGCTCCATGGGAAGTGGATACTGTGCCTGAGCAAGCTTCATACATGAAGGAAAATGCAGCACCTAAAAAACTGTGTCTCAGAGGTGCTCGGGTGGTCTCTTCCTTTTCACACATATAAATACCATCTAACATTTGCTATGTATGTTAAACACCGAGGATTTCAAGCCATAATAAACCACTTCAGTTAAAGTGCTGGCTTTTGCATGAAGTGAAAAAGATTCAGATTTTTCATGGAAAAAAAAGGAATAAAAAACTTCTGGGTACCAAATTTCTTTTTTTTTAATAGGTATCTGCCCTTAAAAATCGATTATTTCTAGCTGAAATAGAATGAAAATTCACCCAGGGGTTTAAATCCAGGAAATGCTGAACAGCCAAAGTCACATGTCTTGCCTATAAAGATCTGTCTCTGTGAGCTGGCAGCTTCTTCAGCCCTCCATTTTGACTGTGAATCTGCTCATGATGGGGTGCTCTAGCTGAGCTTTGTTTAAGCCATTTTTCCTTGAGGCTGCTGCCAACTAAAGTAATTTCTCTTTTTGGCTTGCATTTTAAACTCTTTTTTTTAGTTACATGGCACAATACTGAGACTAAAAAGTATTAAAGGGACTAACAAACACTAATGTTACAGCACAGAAAACAAAGTCTATAAACTTACGTATTTATTGCTGAGATGTGAAGAGTTGCCAAGTTTTATTCTTTCCATGAGATGAGTGCTCTCCTAAGAAACAGAAAACACGTTTACATCAGGTAAACATGGAAAGACAGATAAACATGGAAATGAGTCTAGCAGGAGCACATTACTGACCAGGGTGCAAACTAGCCAGTCTCCTTGTCAGATTTTCTTAACAGCAAAAACTGTCCACACAATAGATTTTTACCACTCTTCCTATTTTATAGATTATTTCCCCTGTGATTTGCTCATAAATGGTGGGTTACTACCACAAAGTATTTTCCAAGGCAGTTCTCATGGGGGTTGAAGAGGAGTAAGACTTTAATTAAGTTATAGCCATGATTAGAACATTGAATTATAAAAATAAGAAGATAGAACTATAAAATTAATTTTTGGCAGTAACACTGACATCAGCTCAGTTCCTTCAAAGCAGAAGGACGAACATTTAAGAACTTCACACCGTTCTCAATATTTCTTCCCTGGAGAATCCAGACCCACATGGAAACAGCCATGAGGGCAGGAAAACCCAAATATCTCTTTCTGCCTCCCTTCTCACCTGCAGGAGACAATTTAATTTCTCATGCCCACATGAGAGGCAAGGAAGTGATGTATTACATTCCAGGAGAAGTGAACATGTATTAAAAAGCTACAAATGATGAATGGCCTAGGGTTGCAAATTGTAATACAAATTAGGATTATAAAAAAATCCACTGATTAGGCACTTAAATAATTAGCAGCCAAATTAAATAGTTGCACTCCTGAAGAGAATGGAAAAGATCAATAGTTTTCAGACAGCTTTTCTTCACAGCAAAAAAAGGCTCTTTAATTTAGTGCAGCTTTTTGGAGATGAGTAGAAGACTTGGTATCTACTGAAAACTGTTCAACAATAGTGTGCTGGAATAGTGTTTACTTCCCAAGTGTCCAATTTTGGGAAAAAAAAAAAGGATTTAAAAATAATTTTGAAGTGTTGCTAAGATAGAGTTTCAGAAGCTCTTATCATGTCAAATTTAAGGCAGAGCAAAGGAAAGCACAAGTTTCTGCTAGGAAAAAACTGGAACATCTTAATAAGACATATTTTTGGTAGGTGAAATGTTTTAGTTAGATAAAAATCTTGTGCTGAAAAGCTAAAATAAAGTGAACCAGTTCAAATATTAAACAGTTTTATACTAGCAAAGGAATGAAATTTTCAAGAACTCTCATTTATTTTTAAATTTATTTTTATTTTTCCTTCTGCATGTTTCTACTTTCCTTGTTTAGTATACAGAAATTGAAGATTAAATAGGGGACAGAAGAGAGAAATTGGCAAAACTATGTAAAAAAGAAAGTGTTGGAGAAATTAATTGTGAAATATACTACCATGCTGAAGATAATATCCAATAGTAGTAATAACTATCAGTATTTTGTTATCAGTTCCACTCTCAGCAGGTTGTTCTGCATATAGATTTACATGGAAGCACCCCAGGAAAATAACATGTCTAAGGGCAGGCTCCAGAGTAGTGTAGTTCCTTGGGTAGCATCCCATTTGTGCCAACAGACCGTGGATCAGAGCATAGAATGGGGGAGCAGCACTGGCTGCAGAGGGCAGAGTGCTTGAGAGGTACCTGCCTGCAGTGGTGGCCAGCCAAGAGGGGTGACTCTGCCTTTCTGCAGACCCTGAGAGGGCAGCACACAGGCACTCATGCCCTATCCAGGTTTCCAGGTGCTTTATCCCTGGAACAGTGAACTGCCCCCAGCTATTGCCTGGGCAGTATCAGTGTCTGGTGAGTGATGGATGCAGGCAGGGATGTTCTTTACTGCCGCACTTCCAAGAGGGCAGGAGCCTGCAAGCCTTGTGAAACAAAAGCAAGTCATGGCTACTCCATGGTTGCAAATGTGCCTGAAGATATTTGCATTGTAAGGTCTGTAATCATTAGTGTCAGCCAACAATCCAGTGATGAAGAGACAATGATTATACGCTGTAGAAGAAGTGGTCACAGATGCTCTCTGTTCAAGAGATAAAAGGGTAGTGGATGGGTTTAGATGCAAAGCTGCAGTACACCTGGAGACTGCACAGAGAGGTGTCCAGATCAATTTTGGAGTTCAATGGTTCAGCAGTTTGATATTCTGCTAAATACACAGTTGCAACTCAAAGGGCAAACCAAGTATATTCAGGTTAGTTGCAAGTAAGACATTTACATTGATCTAAAAACAGTCTTAACTGACACAAATAGACTCCAAGACTCAAAAAGACTCAAAAACCCCCCAAACTTGTCCCCAAGCCATCACCAAAACAAACGGACTAAACCTTGCTTCCCATAAGGGAAATGAAAAACAAATACTTGTGTTCAGTAGTTTGTCAGAACAGATGGCATTTTAATAGACTGAAGAAATTATTCCACATTGAATTTTTGCTGATTGAGAAAATAAAGGATGCAGTGGAGGTGCTCAACCAGTCCAGATACATTGTCTGGATCTTTTGAAGGCTGTCACGGGATCATAGAACTATTAAGTATGGAAAATACCTATAAGATCATCAAGTCCAACCATCAGACCAGCAACATCTCCATATTCACCACTAAACTGTATCCTCAAGTGCCCCAGCCACACATTTTTTTAACACTTCCAGTAATGATGACTCTACCACTGCCCTAGAAAGGCTGTTCCAATGCTTAACAATCCTTTTTGTGAAGAAATTTTCCCTAATATCCAATCTAAATTCCCTTGACGCAATGTGAGGCCATCGTTGAAAGAGAAATATACTAAATATACAAAATATACCAGCAAGAGCAAAATTGCTGTACAACATCATCAGTGAAAAACTGGGATTTTATTTACTCTGGATTATGCATTTAGAGAAGGATGACACACAAACTCTAGTGTTATGCACCAGGAGATGGAAGATATCAGGAGAAACCTGAACCACCAGCTTCTCACTACATAGGTATTAAGTATCTTGCATAAGGTATTGATCCAATTTGATGGATACTATAGCAGTAACTGTTTGATAATGGGTTGAAAATTCATTGTACATTTGTCTACCTTGAAAAGTAAGTGAGTGGCCTGAGAAAAATGGGAGATGAAGGGAACTGGAAGAAAGTAATTGGTACAGTTAAAGCGCTACCAACTGCACAGCTCCAAGTGTAATATGACCCCCCTTTACCTGTGGTCCTGCCATGGGACACCTCTCCTGATGGAGGAGGAGTTGTAAGCTCAGATAGATTGGCAGAGGGCAGTGAGAAGCCAACCTCATATATATCACGCACTTCTACAAAAACTGAAAGAAATTATGCACAATTTGAGAAAGAGGCCTTAGGCAGAGTATTTGGGAAATGAAATCAGATACTAACATTGAAGTTTTAGTTGACATGCAAAGCTCGCCTTTACTCTCCCCCTCTTCCTCCAGTGTTGCACCTGTTTGTTGATTTTTGTCTGAAACTGGATTGCAAAAAGAAAGACAGAGGCATCATAAAGTCTCCAACTATTACTGTCATATAACAGACAGATTTATAGTTAAACTGTCAGGTTTATTGCTGCAGATACCACAGCAAACAAGACAAATTAGTGGAATTAAAACCCACTGAAAAGTATGAAACACTAAGGATAAAAAGCCTGATTAAGGATGTCTCCAAGCCACAGGCTGCTGGAATACCATGGTGTAGGACACATTATTGGACTCCTTTCCTGTTTCTCATACTTCCTTTCATCTCATCCACCCTCTAACAAATCCTCTGTGACTGGATTTGAGGCTACAGAGATCCAGGGCACCAGCAGGTACAGCTGGCTCAGCTGATGGCTCCTTAGCCTCAATACTAAAGAAGACAGTTCTCTAATAACTTACACAATACAGCACTGGTCTTTCATACACACAGCCTCCATGTGGCACCCTTTGAACACTTCTTCCAGAGCCTTGGCCACTGATCCACCCAAAGAAATTGGCAGTGTAGGCACTGAGCCTGATCCAATACACCCTGCACTCTTCCTCCTCTAAAACATGGTCATGGTTCAAAAAGATAAAGACAAGGAAGATGTACAAGAAAAAAAATGTACTCATAAATCCTCATCCTTCAACATATTTGTTTTAAGTGCATGGAAAGAATACTTAATACATAGCTACTGAGGGCTCTTCCAAGCTGAAAGATAAGAAAAGAAATAGTGCTGGAGTGAAAATGCACCTAATTATGTTAGGAGATGCTCCTAAATGTTCCTAATTAAAATTTCACTTGTGCAGTATTTATTTTGATTTTTCACTTACAAATATACTCATTTCCAACCATTAATGTTGCATTCTGATGCCAATGTATGTGAATAAGTAATGGGTACAATCAGCTGAAATTACAGATTGCAATAAGATCAGTTTCGAAGCTCTGAAACATTTCTTTGTCTCACCGTTGTGGAAGGATATTGTATTAATCTCACTGCAATTTTCCCTCTCCTCCTGCCCCTCCACATTTGATTCAGAATCTGAATATATTATTCAGAATACATATACATTGCAGAACATCATGACATAAAAGAGAGTACAGACCGAGTACTATGAGTACAGAAACTCTTTGACCTGGCTAAAAGCCTCTGACATTACTGGGAAAGCTGAAAGAAAAAAGATATAAAAACAGTCTTTCACATAAAAAATAGGTTGTACTGCATCTCAGATTACATTGTAAGAAAAAGTTAGCTGTGCTGTTATTTCACTGTAATATCTGCTGCTGAGAAATGGCTTGTAAGTGGCAATTAGATTTGGAGCAAAGAATTAAAGCAAGCTTTTAATAAAATCTGATTGCAGAAGCCTATCTTTTATAAAAGTATAAAACTATCTCTGCAGACACAGGAATCAAAAAGTCTATTTTTACCACTCTGAGCTGAAATAAAGATGATGGAGAACAGCATTAAGTGGGAACCAGTGGCAGAGTTTGCTGTAGGCCAGTGACTCCAATACCTGCAATGTGCTGCAGCTCCCCTGCCACACGCTTCACCATTTTCCTGCAAGCTGCTCCTCACCACTGCCAGCATGCCAGATGGATCTGAACAATCCACCGTGGCAGAGAGAGGGTGTGTGGAAACGTTCAGGTGAA